GGACTTTCTCATTCTGAAGAGGGGATTTGGCCCCATCAGCATCCTTGGATTTTCTCACCAAGGCCTCATCACTATCCTCAGACTCAGATTCGCCGACGTCTTGACTTGGAGGTGGAGATAGAGGGAATGGAAGAAGAATGAGGTCGGCATTTCTGAAAGGCGAGTCCTCGGGGACATTGAGTTTCTTTAGAAGAGACATCCAACCAAGGGTGAAACCCTTGTTGCATGCCTGCTTCACTTGAAGTTCATAAGCCTCCGTGACATCGGCCATGCCTTGAGCGTATGTCTTTTCGTCGACATCCTTAATTTCAGCCTCTTTGGTGGCCAAGGCTTTTTGAAGCTCTTTTCCTGCTTGGGCCATCTTCTCCTCGGCCTCTTTTCTTTCGGCCTCAAAGACCTTCCTGATGGCCTCGACAAATTCAGCCTTTTCTTCGGCATCAGTTTGGGCTTTGATGGCAGCCTCAGCTTGGTCTTCCAGCTTCTTCATTTTTGACTGTAAGCCTTTGTTGGTTTTTTGAAGAGAAGAGAACTCCCTCTTCATATCGACCAGCTTCTGCCGATTTTCGAAAGACTGAACAAAAAAAGAGTGGGCATGTTGGATAGCTTGAAGAAAACACAGAGTAAAAGTATTGCAAAAATTTCTAAGTATGAAAAAGAAAAGAAAAAAAGTGCCAGATAAAAGACACTTACTTGAACAGAGCGTTGAAGCATCAACGCATAGTTTTCGTATTCGCTCAACTCAGTGTTTCGCTCCAGATCGCCTAGTAACAGCAGAGCAGTGCTAAGCGCAACGCCGACATTGATATCCTCGGCACTACCATTTGCCATGACTGGCTTATCCTCCAAAGTAATTTCGGGGGCCCAGGGGACAGCAGGCTTCTTAGACCCTGAAGTTATAGCGGAGGATGACTTCGGCTTTTTGGATTTTGGGGATTCTGATGGTTGGACTTCAAAGTGCCTTTTCCCAGCAGATGGTTGAGGTTTGTCACTCTCAACCAACTTTAAAATAGGCAAGGTGTCTTCAGACTCAACCTGAGTTACCTTAGCCTTTGGTTGAACCTTCTTTATTCTTTTCGACTTCGGTGGAGGTTGGGTTTGTGTTGGTTGATCATCAACGGATGACGGAATGCTGGCCAGAAGATCTTTTACAACCGGTTTTTCGCAACCCATCTCGGCGTAAGAAACTAATCGGTGTCGACAGCGGCGTTGGGATATTGGAATTAGTATGGAGCTGAGGTTGATGGTTGATCAACTGGAACGGAAGTTGACCCTTGATCTGTCCAAGATGTGGACGTAGTCTGTGGAGTTGTGGTAGATGGTGGAGAAAGGCTTTTTTTCTTCCTCCTAGGGACATCGGGCAAAGCAGACCTGTATGTTGGAATAAAGTTGAGGAGCAGAGGCGTCTTTCGTTTGTGAATTGGCAAGTTCAGAAGTTTTTTCAAATCCTTGCTGGAATAGAAGGATTGGCGAAAATTCTTTGGTGGTTGAGGAAGAACTGCAAAGATAAAATCAGTACAGACATTAGAACAAGAATATTGAAAACTTTATGCAAGAAGATAAGAAAACTTATGAAGGGTGGCCCTTACCAGCTCCTTCCCCCAAAACAGTTCGGCTTAAGGGATAAAGATGGAGGTCATCGTTTGGCTGAAACTCCCAATTGCCCGAGACAATGAAGTAATCGTCTCCAGCTCCCTTGTTAGAGTTTGGGAGGTCGATTACGATTTTATATTCGGTGGATCTCGGCTTAAGGTAATAGACATAGTCCGTGTCTTTTCTAAGGTAACACATAGTATAACAGTACTGGAAATCGGCAAGTGTAATCTTGGCATTCTCTTGTTTGACTAAAGCTATGGTACCAGTAATGTCTTTTACTTCTCTGAATTTTTGTAAAGCCATTGGAGAATATTTTACATCTGAAATACTTATTTTTCTAAACTACCAAAACAACTCCACTGAATTAGCTATTTCAAATGAATGCCATTTTCTTTACAAAATTTATTTTCATGCAAGACCGCCAAGGTAAATTAGATTTTTGAGTTATCTTTCATTTTCCATTGATTTCATTGAAAACCAATCAATATCGAATGAGTAATTTCAGTTTTGCCAAGGCGAGACAGATTCTATCCAATTTTCTTAGAAAAATATTTTCTCCATGTTAAAGACATTTTCAGCTTTCAAGTTCTTCTGAAAAAGTATTTCTAACTTGAATATATAGAAGAAAAAAAAAACTTTAAATCTCCCTTCTATTTGATATCACATGAAGCCTCATTCATTTTTCAAACCTGAACTCCCTGTTTTGAAGTCACTGAAATACCCTGTTTGACCCACCCAAAAAATTTTCTACCCACCCAAAAAAGAAATACCCTGTTTGAAAATAGCTGTTTTACTCCAAAAATAAATTCTTTAACCTAAACTAATTTTTAGCATTCAATTCTTTTAGTAAAATCTTCCTAACCTTTTTATCTAAATTTAAAATCAAGAATCAATTGTTTTTGACATCGTCCGATATTTCTTTTGATTTTACAAACCTGGATCATCTATGCCAAAATTTGCTGGAAATAATTTGGAAGATTAGTAATGATGTGGATTATTTTTGTGCATCTCCATTTTGTCCATTATTTGGTATATCATTTATTATGGATCTGATTTATGTGGTTTAATGTTGTAAATGATATTGTTCACATTATGCATGATTCTTAATATTTTGAGAGTTGAAAACTGGACTAATTGGGCGGTTGGGTTTTTACGCGATATGTGAGTTGTGATCCTATGTAGTGATGTGAATGATTTTAGAAATGATGTATATTGTTTAATAGAGTGAGCTATGGTTCGAAAATCTTGCACAAGTGTGATGCGTTATCCTAAGATGGAACAAGGCATATTCTAACTCTTATGGATTGGTCGAGAAGTAAGGTTGGCAGTGAGGGTCTCATACAGAGGGAGTACCTTTGGAAGGCCATTTCCTTGGTGAGCCATTGATGTTGCAGCTCAAGTATATAACTCAAGGAGTAGGCATCCATGGTGCTAATCCTGGTGTAGGACCAATGGGGAGTCAAAATAGTTTCGTGTCCATTGCTTAGTGGTTGGATAAGAACAACGCTCTACGGAGAGTTGCTTAGAAGTACTGACTTACTGACAGTTAACATGATTAACTATTATCTTTAAATATTTTGTTTGTCTTGCACTCATTAATTTTGTGGATTATTATACTATGCAAATAAGTGTATTATCAGAATGGGTTGTATCCTCAAAAAAAAAAAAAAAAAATGGGTTGACTATCGTGTTATAGTATTCTATTGGGCTATTAAGCTCATGAATTTTTTTGTATTGCTCTAGCATTTTATGCTAGGTACCGAAGAGATTGTGAAAAAGAAGACGATGTAGCAAACTTAGCGGTGATTGTATAGAAATGTTAAAGAAAATATTTTGGATATGCACTACAACAAATCTAGGCTTTACAAAACCAAATACACACCGTAGATACAATTCTACAACGCGTAATGTAAAGTTGTGTTATGACCCGTCATAGAAGATCTTTCACTTCAATGGTATGCCGTAGTACGCCATTAAAAATCCTTTAACAGCAGATTTTGTGAATCGTGTTTGATTTTTCTACAACTACTATTGCACGCCATTAAAACCTCTTTAACAATGGATCTTGTGCATCATGTTTGATTTTTCTACAAGTATTATCATAATGGGTTGACTATCATGTTATAGTATTCTATTGGGCTATTAAGCTCATGAATTTTTTTGTATTGCTCTAGCATTTTATGCTAGGTACCGAAGAGGTTGTGAAAAAGAAGACGATGTAGCAAACTTAGCGGTGATTGTATAGAAATGTTAAAGAAAATATTTTGGATATGCAATACAACAAATCTAGGCTTTACAAAACCAAATACACACCGTAGATACAATTCTACGACGCGTAATGTAAAGTTGTGTTATGACCCGTCATAGAAGATCTTTCACTTCAATGGTATGCCGTAGTACGCCATTAAAAATCCTTTAACAGCAGATTTTGTGAATCGTGTTTGATTTTTCTACAACTACTATTGCACGCCATTAAAACCTCTTTAACAATGGATCTTGTGCATCATGTTTGATTTTTCTACAACTACTTTTGTACGCCGTTAATTTCTGAGACAAATCACAACTCTCATTGCTTGTCGTAAAATATATAATACAACGACCTATTATGCCTGTCGTAGAATATACAATATTTTTTTAAAAAAAATTAGCAAATTCTATTTGACATGTTTTGTACAATCTAATAAACATTACAAACAAGCTCCACAAAACATCAATCAATCACCAAAACATTGTTTCAAGCATCAAAAAGAAACTATATCTATAAATTATGAACATTCAACAATTGCCTATACATTTCAAATATTCAAAAACTATATTCTTTAAGTTCTAAACTGTCCAAAATGTTTAAACTATTCAAAAGCTATGCATAACTAGGTTTCTAAACATATCCAAAACTATTCAGAAATTATCCAAAATTACCGACAACAATTATTGCAGTAGTTGCAGCTCCAGCAAACCCGCTTGCTCCTATCACAGGGACGAGGGTGCCCAATATATGTGCTAAGAAATCTGATGAAGAGAATGCACCAAAAAGTGAATTGATGTATAATAGTTCTAGTCTCATTGCTCCAAAATCAAATCCCGATGAAGAATTTAGAAAGAATAGACTTAAAGAGGCAATGGATAATTTGATTAATAAATCTTCAAAACTTATGGTAAGGACTATAACGTATACCTTGTGCAAGGAAACGCATAAATATGGCTTCAAAGGAGGATGCAATTAAAGTTGAAAACAACGACACATATGTCTGTCTAAGTTCATATACAAAAAATAAATAAAATACTTATGACCCAACTAATCAAATTCAATGGAAAGGGAAGGTATATAGTGCAACACCATGACTTGTAATTGAAAATGTGTATTCTTTGCTCTTACAACACCAAATCCCAGCAAGGCAACCAAATTCTATCAAAACACAATCTTATTTCTATACTAGTGATGGGGTGTCATGCGTTGCACGATGAGCCGTGCCCATGGCAATTATCATGATTTTTTTCCCCCCAGCAATAAGGTAATAATAACATTTTACAAAATTAAGGTGAAAAGAACACTTGTATTAAGCATTCAATCCAAAAGGAAGAAAACATGATTGGCCAAGACACAAATTGACAAACAGCATAAACATTACAAGAAAACAAAATAAACCCCAACCTAAAATTAAATCTCCATCTTAACATTCCTCAAACTGATAAACCTAAAAGCAGCAGCATCATCAGCAACAAAGTCTTCGATCAAGTGACCATTTGTTTCTCTATGCATGAGAAAACCTTTTTTTATTAGCAAGTCGTTCCACTTGAAGTGCACATACAACAACCAAAATATGTGGAGCACTAAAGTCTAATAGCATAAGCCAAAACAAAATAAATAAATGATTAAAAAAAATAAGTACGGCTTCTCAGTTACACCCCAAAAACAGAGTAGCAACACAAAATAAGTTTTTAGTTCATGATCTCTAAATTAATCTTAATCCAAAAGGCCACTCTTACCTTGATCAAATCAAATGTATCTCATTGAGTGGCAAATCCTTCTTATTGGTTATTCTATTATAGTTTACAATCAAAAAGTTTGTCACTTAACATTGAGATACAAGTCATCAACCACCAAAAAGATAATTAACTATTAAGGACAAAGGCAAAATCCAGAAAATTTTTAAGAAAAATGAAAAGAAAACCACATACATAGTGTCCAACACTAAAATGACTCTAAAATCCAAGTGCACGTATGGTGTGAACAAATCAGCTTTAGTTGCTACTATGTCATGCAAAAGAAATGACAAAATTGCAACATTATTAGCCTACAAAAATGCATGGATAAGCATTTTAGAGGAAGGTTGCATCTAATTGCAACAATATAGGTACAAATGTGTCAGATAACATTGCTGAAACAACAATCACAAAACCAACCAAAGGAAAATGTATAATCTATTCAAAGAGGAGGATGGTCCTCGAACCCATGACCATGGCTTTAATAATGGGTTTTATAATATATGTGAAGAAGAAAAATGTAAATACACTCTGGTGAGACTGAATAAATAATATATATTATTTTTTATTATTAACCAATATGTAAACAAAAAAATAAAAGGAGTATTTGAAATTAAAGGGCTAATAGGAAGAGAAATTTTTAGATTTTTTTTTTTTGAAGTGTATAAAATAACATGTATGAGAAACCCCTGTCAAAGCTATAAATTGAAACATGTCATATTTGAAAAGATTGGGCATGGTAGAGTCCTTATAACACAGCACATTACAAATAAAAGGAAAATATATAAACCAACAAAATAATCTATGGTGGCTCTAGACTAACCCAAGCATGTATTAAATATTACGCTAAGTGGATAATTCCATCAACCCCACAAAAATTGTAAAATAGTAAAATATTGATTGAGAAAAAGAATAGACACATGAATAAGAAAAAGAATAATCACATATCTATGCACTTTGAAAACACTTTTTCCTCACATAGCTAAATAAAATTTGTAGTTTGAGCCATAACTAAAATAGTAACTTTAAAGAAAATCAAAACTCATTTACAAAGCCTCATTTACAGTTGGTGAAAAGTAAAGCAAGCATCTAACCTTTTGACAAGAATGGCAATAGTACTTCTTCATGAGTGATGTAAAACTTTAGGATATTTGGAGAAAGTTTTGGGGATAACCAAAGTCCATGGTCTTTGCAATTTTTGATGAAAAAGTGTCAAGTATTAATACAGGTAGACAGGAGAAAGAGCCCAATCTAGCATACAATTACAATGATCAATTGAGATTCATTTGAGAATGGAGGTTTGAGACTTGTTACAATAAACTTCTAAATTTCTCAAGACATCAATGTAAAAAGTTAGTTTAATACCCAAGGAACTACATGTCTTAGATTGGACAAGATGCAACCACTATGCATTCAGTAATGCACAAGTTTGCTTCAAAAGACTCCAAGCCAACTGAAATAAGGGTGAGAAGCCATTTAAGGAATAACTTACTAAAAAAATTAAAAAAACAAAAGAAGCCAAGAATCAAACACTATGGGCTCGTTTGGTTTGATTTTCTGAAAAAAATTTGAGAAATTTTCTCTACAAATAAGTTTTCAAAAATAACCAAACCAAACAAATTTTCCCAAAAAAATTTCCCAAAACTTGTAAACCAAACAAGTTTTCCAAACAAATCTCTCTCTCACACACATCAAATCAATCACTTTTTCCAAATCTCTATCTCAAAATAATTTTCCAAAACATCTTTTAAAAAAACCAAACCAAACATGTTTTCGTACTTTTTATCTCTAAAACACATCTCTCAAACACAAACCAAACATACCCTATGGGTCTTTTTCCCTTTTTAGCAGCTTTTTGAGAGAGTTCAAAACAGGGCAAAAAGCCCAAAGATATTACTAGCAGATTCTAAAGATAACTTTTATCAAAGGTTGAACACACAGAAACTATAACTCAAAAAAAAATAGCAACAGTTAATAAGCGCAAGTGACTGAGTAATGAGGAATCTCATTATCCTTTTACTAAAGAAGGGATATTTTTGTTTTTAGGTATCTACAAGCTGCAAACTAACATATGTTCTAACTTTCAGAAAAAAGAACAATTAAATAAAGTTATTGAACTTCAAGCAGCTATGACAAAAAGTATTTGACTGCAACACCTCCTAAAAGATATATTGAGGAAAACACACACACACACAAAAAAAAAGATTCTATCTTGAACCTAGATGTAAATGTAATATCAAAATGAATCAAGCCAATGTTTAAAAGTAAGCACGGTTAGAATTGCCCTTTTGACCATAAGAATGAGGGAGAAACCAAGCATCTCAATAATTACCCCCAAAAATTCCATAATGACAAATTAGTAATTATCCATACGAAATGACAAGCACAAAAACTTTGTAAATCTATCCCTCAAAATCCAACAAAAAGTTAGCCCACAAATATGACAAATTGAATCACCAAGCTAATACAATCCTAAACATTTAAAAATCAAAAAGATTAGAAAGTAGCCATCAATACTCACATATAAAAAATAAAACATTTTTCTAAAAATACACAAACAAAGAAATTGCAATAATAAGAAATAAAGGGTACCCATGAAAGAAGAAGAACCCTTTTTATTTATTTATTTGGTAATAAGATAAGACATTCATTAAAATATATATATATATATATATAATAAAATTAAATTTAAAAAAAAAAAAAACCCATACAAACAGTTAAGAGGTGGTTTGCAAGCAAGATTGCAAAAAAGGTCTGACTATCACATTACCATTAAATGTTTAGAAACTACTTGAATTGTGTGGTCGGCTTCATAAATACCTAATTTGCGAAGTTCACTGAAAAGATTAAAGTGGCCTTACTTGATAAAAAGTAACAAAGAGTGAAATTCCTAAACTTTCATATGTTTTATCTATAGTCATTGAATAACATTGAAGCTAAGAAACATGAAAAAATAATAATAATAATAAATAAATAATTAAAATTGAAAAACAAATTTGTAGCCAAAAGAAAGCAAAATCTGAGACTTCAGTGTACTTCTCTTGAAAAAGAAAAATAAATAAAATAGAACAAAGAATAACAAACCAAAGCAATAAAAGCAAAGAAAATGATAACAAAAGTAAGAACAAGAAAGAAAGCTCCAGAAAGAATGAAAAGTCAGCAATAATATTTATTTACCTTTAAATACAAAGATTGTTAGCTATTCTAGTTGTGTATCAGCTTCGAAGATTGACCCTGGAAATCAGAAGGAAACCAAGAAATGTAGTTATGTTTTTAAAAACAGAAAAGGAAACCCAAAACAAAAAACAAACAGGTTGTTAAGAGCTTCGATTGAAGATGATTGCCTTCAATGTAGGAACAATGGCTTGAAAACTGAGTCTCTTTGATACCTCATTTGAAATTGGTTAAAAAAAATAGATCCAATAAATAAAATCACAGTAGGCCATCATTGATGCATTTTATCGAACATTTGACAGACAGGGAAAATGGGATTTGAACTCTAACTAGAGAAAACCAAACATCACACTAACACCCCCAAAAAAAAATGCCAAAAACGCATTTGGCAAGAAAAAATTAATTAAGGCACAGAAATTGCAATTTAAATTTATAGGGCAAAGAGAGAGAAGAACCCTATCTAACCAAAAAAATAGAGAAGAACCCAAGCCTGGTGTATGTAACTTGCAAACAAAAAAAAAGAAGAGGAAACTGGTAGAATAGATCACTAGCTTCAGTTTCAATACTGATTCATACAGGAGGATTGGGATCAACTTAACAAACCTGACCAAACTTGTCAAAAGTAATTCATACCACAATGTTAGATTAAAAAATAAAACTAAAAAAAATGCAGAAAGATAAGTGAAATTCATCAACAACACATGCTTGAACTCAATAATGACAATAATAATATATACATAAATAATGAAAACCAAACTTTGTAGCATTATTTTCAAAATACAAGTATATAAATCGCACTTGCTTTTGGGTTTTAAGGCCAAACTGTGAGAATACTCGCATAAAAACTACGAATTTCAAACCCGAAAAGAATAATCGAAGAACATAGAAGGATCAAAAAATAGAGAAGAAGAAGAAGAAAAATCGAAACTAACCTGTTAGGGCAGCAAGTTGAAGAAGGAGAAGAATCAAAGCTACATTCAAGAAGAAGAAGAATCGAAGCTCTGTTCAAGAATAAGAGTCGCAGCTTTTGTTTACCCTAAACCAATTGATGTCGAACAACTTTAGGGCTACGCGAGAAAAACATAAATAGATATTAGATAGCTTCAAAGATTCAGAAAATAGCTTCAAAGTGTTGAGGTGTTGGTTTCAATATTACCTCAAATTTGGACAAAGAGGACTGAGAAGAGGAGCAAATTGAGTGAATGTGTGTGTGGGTGTGTGAGAGAGAGAAAGAGAGAGACACGAGGAATTCGAACATACCTCAATAATCGGACTGAGATTTTTTCCAGATCAAAGTGAACAGAAGAGAAGAACGAAACCCTTTCCCTTCGAACCGTTGATCGTCGCCGTCGCCGTTGCCGAACCAGTCTTGCCGCCAAAGAGATAGCATCGTTCTACGTCAAAGTCTTGCCGCTACCTAACTAGTCTCCCTTTCTCCTCTCCCTCTCTTAGTTGTTGAATAACTACAATTACAATTTTTTATGTTTGTATTTTGATAAACTCCTTTTTTTAAAATATATTTTTAGTGATTGGCGCTAGAATATTTTATTTTGGTGCCTTTTTTTTTTTTTTTTTTTAAGTCATATCATTCACGACATAAATTATGTGTCGTGAAAAGTGAAATATGTCTAACAGCTGGCATATATGGGCCGTGTATAGTTGATGTATTAACGACATGCTATATGCACGTCATAAAAAAGTTTTATTATTAACGGCTAACATTGCAAGTCGTAAAAAAATTATTATAATTAGCATTAACGTCCTACACAATAAACATGTCGTAGTTACGATATTATTTATGACATGCAAAAAAAGAAAGTCGTAAAAGTAAAATTTTACGACTTGCATTTATTTGGATTTTGAACGGCCCTAAAATTTAGGATCGTTGCATGTTGGGTGGGAATTCAAAAAGTGAGGGCCAAATTAACAATGTGGTGACAAATAGAAGTCCTCATTTTATATTTGAATCATGTTTAGAATGAATTTGGACCATAAAGGAAAAAAAATTACAAAAAAAATCCTAAGGTTTGAATTTTATAACAAAATAAATCTGGAATTTTTAATTTTATCAATTTAAACAGTAATATTTTGATTTGTTTTTAATCTAAGTCACACAACTATTTTTTTAAGTAGAAGTATTGAAAAAAATATATTTTAGCCATTAAACTAAATGGGAATGGATATTTTAGATGTTTTTCATGTACTTATATTGAGTTTAATGACCATTATTGTTCTATTAATAATACTTAACATAAATAAGCTAAAAGTTTATATTGAAAATAAATTAAAAATTTATGATTTAAATTGAAAAAATTAAAAAAAAAATTATTACCTAACTTAAATTCTAAATTTTTTTTTTTAATTTCTCTCAATAAATTTAAACCGCAAATTTATTTTTTATTTTTTGTGACACTTGGCATTATTGTTATGTAAAATGCTTGCTTGTTATATGCATGTGGTGGGGTGTATATATGTGGTAACATATCCCAGAAACACAGTGGAAATACCGAACAATGGGTTCGACTATGGTACCCAGAAGTGGTATTTGGATACCATACATAAAAATGAATTTTAGCCTTTATATGGGAATTTTTAATCTGGACCATTGAAAAAATAAAAATAAAAGACCTGTTGAACCAGTCACACACAGCTAACACACACACTCTCTCTCTCTCTGCCTCAGGAGGATTGGGATCAACTTAACAAACCTGACTACAGTATACCCACCCATGGTGTTCTTTTCTGCTTTTTTTTTCTTTTTTTGAATGAGTTTTGTTGGCTATCTCTATACTCTCTTTTCTCTTTATACTGTGTGAGGCTTTCTTCAAACCCTTCTCTCTCACACCCTGCCGGCCTGTTGTCGCCTCGATCCCATTGTTCCACCACCACCGGCGCAACCTCCGAAGTTCTGTTCAATGGCTTCCTCTGATACAAACAAGAAGAAAATGGTTTGCTTTCTATACTTTTTATTTTTTCTTCTGAACCTTTAGACTTGTCCATGGCTCTTGGAGTGAATATGCATATTTATAGATTGGTTTGCCTAGTCCAATACAATAAGCAGTGAATATGCATATGAACTAAAAAAAAAAAAACTGCATGCGAGACAGAGAAAGAGGGAGCATTTTGTGGGTGTGGATTTCTAGAGATCCCATTGTTCCACCACCACCGACGCAACCTCCGAAGCTCTGTTCGATGGCTTCCTTTGATACAAACAAGAAGAAAAGGGTTTGCTTTCTATACTTTTTATTTTTTCTTCTGAACCTTTAGACTTGTCCATGGCTCTTGGAGTGAATATGCATATTTATAGATTGGTTTGCCTAGTCCAATACAATAAGCAGTGAATATGCATATGAACTAAAAAAAAAAAAACTGCATGCGAGACAGAGAAAGAGGGAGCATTTTGTGGGTGTGGATTTCTAGAAGTTTGACTCCTTGTGAAAAGTGTTGAAAGTTTGGGGTATATCAACTTTAATAATGTGAAAAATGTTTATTTTTTGATTTTTTTTTTTTGATTCAAAATCATATCAGTGTTACCAGATGGCACCAAAGTGTTTCTTTTTTGTTTTCAAAATCATAAAGTGTTTCTTTTTTTGTTTTTTCTGATTTTTTTTTATGTTCATTTTTTTTTTTTGTTCAACCTCTGTTATTAAAACTACCCATTGAGTTCAAAAATTTGGGGGTTATGGGATATAAGAGGTTGGAATTGGTATTGGTTTTTTGGGATGATACGAGAAGAGAGATTGTGAGGTTTGAAAGAGAGAGAGACATTTTTTTTTTTTCTGTTTTCTTTGGTAATGGAAGCAAAAAAATTGAAATTTTGTGTGGATTCTGATGATGAGGATTAAAAATTGAAATTTTGTGTGGATTCTGATGATGAGGATTAAAAATTGAAATTTTGTGTGGATTCTGATGATGAGGATTAAAAATTGAAATTTTGTGTGTACGAGCATAGCGGATTTTCGATCTTGCGACTTGTGTAATATTATCACTATTTAATTTAGATTTTTGTGGCAAAATTATATTATGCTAATCAGATTAATCCCAATGCTAATTTCTCTCTAAATTGACTTAGCTTATGGAAGTTAATTGGTTGACCTAATAAACGATCCGAGCTTAACGAGCCGAGCTTATGCGAGCTCGAGCTCGGCTCGTTTATTAAACGAGCCTAATATTCGAGCTCGAGCTCGGCTCATTTACTAAACGAGCCGAGCTGAGCCGAGCCGAGCTCTTAACGAGCCGAACTGAGCTTGTTCATGAACAGCGCGGTTCATTTGCAGCCCTAGTTGGAAAATGGTGGAGATTCTGATGATGAGGATTAAAAATTAAAATTTTGTATGGATTCTGATGATGAGGATTTTTGGGGGGGGAAGAGGGGTGGACATTTCGGGAAAGAATGTGTTAGGAAAATGGTGGAGGTATTGATTGTTTTTGGCTTCTTCTTTGAGAAAATAATACAAAGCTACTTTTGTAATATAAATTACAACATTGTTTGACAAGAAGGAATTCATCCTATTGCTCCCAACTAAATATGAATGAATTGGTTTAGTAATGTTATACAATAATAACTTTTTTAACACGAAATTTTCAATGGAATTTTTTAAAAAAAATTTGTGCTTTTTTTATTTATTTTTTTATTTTTATTATTATCTCTTAGGAAGTTTTAGTCAAAAAGCCTTCAAAATTTGAAATGCAAAAAAAAAAAAAAAAAAAAAAACCAAATAAATAATCCAGTAAACACAAAGAAAATTGCTAAAATTCTCTTTTTATTTTTAGTTCCATTTAGACTAAAGCAACTATAAATAAAAAAGCAATTTGTGAAAATTAAAAGATTTTTAAATTATAAAGATGGTTACCAGTTTGTTCTCATGGATCTGGTATTGTTCACTATCTTTTTCATGTAGTATGTTAAAAGTGCTACTGCTAGCCTAGTTTGCTACAGCCTTGTTCATTTGTTTTACCCATGAAAGTAACTCAGCAAAGGCTTCATATGGGCTGGTGATGTCCTCTGTTTTTACAAGTAAATCATATAATTAATTCTCCTTGCTGATGAAGAAATCTGGTTAATTTGATGTCAATTTTATGCTTCTCATACTACTTTATAGCTTTCTACCGTAGCTGAGAGAGAGATTGTTTTTGTTTATATATATTGATTGTTTTTGTTTTTAAATTATTTTTGTATGGTATTTTTTTGGATTTTTAGTATGTGGTTAGAGGTAGCATTTGTTTCTCTCAATCCCCAAATCTTTCTAAAATACTAGGTATATTGTTGTCTCATATGCTTTGGAGTTTGTTTGTTTGTGGGTATAAATTTTGTGTTGTCTCATATGCTTTGTTACTTATTTTTTTAAAGTAATGGTGGTCCCATTTGTAATTTTTATGTTCTTTCTTCCTTTTCTTTTCTTTTTTTTCTTTTTTTTTTCTTTATCATTTATGCACTTTGTTTGTTTTTGGAATGGAAGGACATGAATGGTTGACAAATTGTCCCATTGGTGGGTAATGGGAACTTTGACACTTTTTACTAGACAATAAATGGTTGAGTTTTTTGTATTATCGCATGCTTTGTTGTTTATATTTTTAAAAGTAAGATAGTCTATGGTGGCCCCATTTGTGGGTTTTTTTTTTTCTGTGTCTTATTTCTATTATTGTTTTTAAGTAAGATAACCCACGATGGTCACATATCTATTACCAGTTTACTTTGGAGATTGTGTATATGTGACCATATGCTTTATTACATTTATTTTTAAAAGCAATATAGTTCATGTGGTCCCATTTGTGACTTTTTTTTTTATTTTGTTTTATTTCTTTTTTCTTTTTTTAATGCAAGATAGTCCATGATGGCCCCATTTCTATTATTGTTTTTGTTTATAGAATGGAGGGATATGTAGGCTTGATTAATTGTCCTATTAGTGAATAATTGGGACTTGGGTGAGTAATCTTAAAAGAATATATATATATACACAATATTTATAGAATGCAATGAAAGAACACTATAAAAAATTAATGATATTAATAATATGTTTTAATTGTAGTGTTTTAATATAGGATTAAGTTTTCATAGTATGTTTTGGAATTTAAATTTGGTCTAATGTATTTGTTGTTATTGTGTTTGGCTACAACTCGGACAGCATTGAACTCAGTTTATGAGTTAATACAATTGCTTCAACCATTACAAAAAGAAGCTATCAAATCAATTGGCTTTGGAGGTTTATTAGAGCTTAAATGCACGAAATTGCCACGACAACTCTGTGAATAGTTGGCTTGCGATAGATAATTGTCATGTATTATTGATGTTGTTGCATGTTCATACTTGAATTATGTGAATTTTAACTGAATTTGCTTTGGGAAGGATGTAGAGTAAATGGATTTTAGTCATATGATTTTTGTCATTTTTTAGTAATTTGGATTTGGATTGTACATGGGCAGGATTTGAATTAATTATCACTTACCACTTTATTATACTTCAATGACTCCATTTACTATT